GCGGTTCGTGGGTTGCGATGGTAGAAGCGAGCCATGAAGACAGCTGCCGGTATTACGAATAGGAAGGCAATGACTGCCAGTACGCCGTGGGCTGTGATGAGAGCCTTGTAGCTGGCCATGCTGCGGAAGCGATTGCCCATGCCTGACTAGTCAGTCTTTGTAGTCTTTTTCAACGGCGAAGATACTTACCATTCAACCGCATCGTCTCAAAGTTCGGGGCTTGCAAGTTGGGCAGCAGAAAAGTGTTGCGCTGCGAGTCCCATGTGCCATCTCCCACATGCATCGTGGCCGAGTCGTAGACGCTCGACCCGGGGTCCGAGAGTTGGTTCGACATTATCGCAATAATGTTCCGTTTCGCGCTCAATGGCCAATTCCTTCAGAAGCAGTCGTAAGGTAGATGCGTAAGTCGTTAAACACACCAGGCTGACAGACGAGGTAACGACAGAAAACCGGATTCTCGCTAACAACGCAGGCAAGCAACAATACGTGGAAACAGAGAGTCGTAACGTCGTGACAGGCGTAAGAATGGCGGAAGTAGGCCGGGACGGTGGTGTAGTCGTGTAGAGCGTGTCCGGTTGGACAGCTCGCGGTGGTGGGGGAACGTCAGCTCCTGGCGCCGTGCAATGGACGTCGTTGGGAAGAAGCGGTTTCCGTGACTGCAGGGAGCGAAAGTCTTCTCTTCGGTGCTGCAGCTGCAGATGTCACGAAAGGATGGAATCGGTAGCCAGCTCAGTTAGCTCGTCGAGGGCTCCACCAGCCGCATGTTTATGGGTGGAATGGCCTGGCAACGTAATCGATAGGTTGAAGGGCGGTGAGTGGCTGGGGCCGGCCAACCACAGCCCGCCGTACCCCTGCACCCAGCCGCCCAGATTCTAAAACAACTCGAATTTCTGGTTTCCGAGGCCGATTGATTAGCTCGGCACGCTGCTCTTGGGCGCGCATGCGCTGGCAGTGAGGCGAACCGTCGCTAGGCCTTAGGGGACATGTTCAAGCACCGTGTTCGCAGCTGCATTGCCACGAATTAGAATACGGATTACCACGAGTCGATTGCGCAGAGAAAAAGTCGTTTCAAGCAGTGGTATCTCGAGTCCATAACGCCGTAACAAGCCCAACACACGCTCACCGCAAGGACGTCATCCCTCAACATCCAACATGTCCCTTAGCGCCTTTTCAGACGCTCGGAGCCATCTACCTCTCTCTTCTAGTTCATCTCCGATTCCACCGCCCTCTTCCTTCCGTCTCCGGGCCTCTCTAGCTGCCGCGACGGTTCCCTGTTTCTGCGTCTCCAGCGGCCTCAGCTCGCGCTCCAGCTTCTCCAAGTCTCTGGTTCGGTTCGGGATGGTAGCCTGCAGACTTGCGATCTGCGCATTCAGGGCTGCGAGCTCCGCCTCCCGTTCGCTGAGCACTCGCTGAGTTTCTGGAAGAGGGAGAGACAGCTCAGGGTTTGTCGAGACTGGTGTTTGCTCGTGCTTCAACTGCTCAATGGTAGCTTCTAGGCCTGCAATCTCAGCCGGAAGTGACTCAAGCTGTTGCGTGCGTAGTTGGAGACCCTCATAGCGCAGTGCGAGCTCTTTCCCCTTGTCCTCCAACTGCTTCAGGATCTCGGCTACCTCCAACTTGCGCTCCTTGAGCTCTGCCTTGAGGCCCAATATCTCCTTCTCCTTCTCGTCGTTCTCGTGAGCGTCGACCAGGCGGGGTGGGTTCTCCGTTATGCTGCGCAGGAACTTCTCCTTGGTGACCTGCTCGACGTAGCTGAAGCGTAGCTTGCTGAAGAGTTCCTGCAACAATGTTAGGCCTGTATCTCTCTCATGACATTTTGAAGACGCATACTTTGTAATGCAATAGATCGGCCTCGAGGGCAGCCGGATGAGTGTCGCCATTCTGCTCGCTGTCTTCCGACGCCGCCGAGTTGCGCTTCTTCGCGGCCTGTGGGAGATCCTTTGGCGATAGTGTTTCTGCAATAGCGAGGAGCTTGAGTGACTTTGACTGCTGCAACTGTTCCAACACTGCAGCTGGTGTTGGCGCCGCCGATTTCCGCTTGGGTCCCATTGTGTCTGTTGTAAATGAATTGGAGGATTGAATGTTTGTTTGGGATCGCGAATGCCCGCGTAGGGCTGAGTTCCCCGCGGCGACTACCGCATGCAGCTAGCACGGCCCGCCGCGTGGAATGATTTCACATGGCCGCCCGGGATCTCAAGGTCAGACTTCTGCGACCCTTCCTCTCCACCCCAACAACAGTCGCCCACCATGGCGAGGGACTTGAATGACGACGCGTACATCGCAGAGCTGCTGAAAGAGGATGCAAAGAAGGCGACCAAGACATACGAGCTCGTTGGCATCGATGCCTTCAACCCGAGGTGCGTCATGAGCCTCCGTACACGCTGTGCAGTCGCATGAGCGTTGAAAGTACATGAGCACTCCATTATGAGACTGCTCGTACTAATATGCTATAGGATGAAGTCTCGCGCACCTAGACCGAACAAGGGCTTCCTGCAACACCTTATCCGACAGACTGACAGCCACAACTCTGCGCTCCTTGCCAAAGAGGCCGCCGAGTCTCGCGCCCGACTCAGGATGATGGATCGAGAAAAAAGACAGGCGGCCGGACAAGGGGACGCACGGGCGCCAAGCCGATGCGATGTCGAAAGCGCAGGCAACCAGGGACGGTTGGCGCCATCAGAAAGCGACATCGACCGATACGAAGCAGAATCAAGCAAACGACAAGGTCGCGGCAATAATGAGGATAGGCATAAGAGGAGGCGCGGAGAAAGAGAGGAAGATAGTTCGACGACCCCGATATCCCGCCGGCATCGAGACCGAAGCAGAGACGGACACCGGCACAAGAGGCGACACGATAGTGAGGAGGAAGACCATTCCAAACGGAAACGGAGACGATCCAAGTCCCCACGTGACAGATCGCGTAAAGACAAATACGGCAAAGAGCAAGAACGCTACAAGCCCCGGGGAAGAGACCACAAGGACCGCGAGCACGCAGAGCGCACATCCCACCGCCGAACATCTTCACGGTCACGGTCACGATCACCCCATTCCCCAAAGCACACAAAACACAGCCGACACCGAGACCGGACTCGCTCCCGAAGCCCAAAACGCAAACCCACCACCACCAAACCACCCAAACCCAGCCGCCACACCGCCAAACGCTCCCCCTCCCCAGCATCCTCCTCCTCCGATCCCCTCGAAGCCATCGTCGGCCCCCTCCCTCCCCCGCGCTCACCGCCCCTCCGCTCCAAAGGCCGCAACGCGTACAAACCGCAAAACGGCGGCATCGAATCGCGCTTCTCCTCCACCTACGATCCCACCACAGACGTGCGCCCGGCATCCGACGTAGAAGACGACTGGGGCGACGCACTAGAAGCACTGCGCGACCGTGCGCGCTGGCAGCAACAAGGCGCCGATCGACTCAAGCAAGCCGGGTTTACGGATGATCAGGTGAGGAAGTGGGAGAGAGGGGGGGATGTAATGGGAATGGGGGAGGAGGATGTGGTGTGGAGGAAGAAGGGGGAGGGGCGGGAGTGGGATAGAGGGAAGGTTGTTGATGAGGAGGGGGATGTGGAGGTTAGGGCAGATTTTGGGAGGTTGAAGTGATGATATGGTTGAATTAATTTTGCAGGAAGAAGATAATCGGTATTCTGAGATAGGATACATTGTCTTTCGCATTCCACATCTCTTTCCTACTTCAATCATTACTACCCTCACACCTCCTCCCCCTCTTCATCCTCCCCCTCTTCATCCTCCCCCTCTTCATCCTCCCCCTCCTCCTCCCCACCCAATCCACCCAATCTACCCAATCTACCCCACCCAATCCACTCCACTCACTCCCAACCCACTCATCCAACTCACTCCCAATGCCTCCCCACCAACCCCACCTCCCTCCCATCCACATCTCCCCCCTCATAACTCGCACTATCCGAACCCCTATCCGAATCCGTATCCGGAAAACTCAAATCACTCCGTAGAGTCTCGACGTCTGCTTTGTCGCCTACGACTGTTGTGTCGTCGTCGCCGAAGGAGTAGCGTGGGTTGCGGGGGGTGGGGCGTAGGGGAGGGGGACGCGAGCTTTCGCCGTTATGGTTTCTATTGTTGTTTCTGTTGTTGTTGGTGGTGGTGGGGTTGTAGTTGGAGGTGTGAGTGTTGGGATTGCGTTGGGAGATCGGAATGGGGATTTTGGGTGGTGGCGGTGGTGGCGGCGGTGGTACAGGGCGCCCAGCGTACGTATCCGGATAACGATGATGAACACCCTGGGGTGAACGAGGCATCACATCCAATTCCACCGGATACGTCGGATACCCTGCCATACCGTTATGACTCGTATCCGGCATGCGAGCCGGTGTATTAGCCAACTCAACCACCCTCCTCCTCTCCCCATCCTCTCTTTCCCTTTCTCTTTCCCTTTCTCTTTCCCTTTCCCCCCTACCCCCCTGACCAGCCCCCACCCGCTCAATATCCTCATTCGAGCTCGAGAACCCGGACCACAACCTCGGTATCGGGTGCCCTATCCCATCATTCCCATCATTCCCATTTCTTTCTAGAACAGCATCCAGGGGGCTACTGATAGTAAGCTGCTTCTCTGCTTGCTCCTCCTCCGGCGTTCCGCTTGTGGAGTCTAGGAAATTTCCTTTTGTAGGGGTCCTAATAATGAAGGTTGCTATGAATATGAGGGCGACGGAGCCGAGTAAGGCGCTGATGGCGAGAGATGCGGGTTCGATGCTGGGCTTGTGTGAGGAGGGGAGGAGGTTGGGAGGGGGCGCGAGCCAGAGAGTGGGTAGTGGGTTGGGTGTTGTTGAGGACATGGTGAAGATTGGAATACTGTTAGTGCTATACAATAGGAGAAGGGAAGTGAGTCTGTCTGCGGTGTTGGCGGTTATGCGAAATGAGGATATAGGAGTATGTACTTGGCAATCGATTGTTACAAACGCCCTTTATCGGCACTTCACATCTGCATCTCTGGCACGGTGTTGCCTGTGAATCTCCACTGACAATCAGAAAAACGGAGATGAAGACACGCTGGAGAATAGATCGTCCCAGTCGGCTAAATCGAGCTGTATCGCGTCGGTGACTTGCGAAGGAGGATGGTGCTCCTGAATGACGCCCGAGGGTGTGTCTTGGAATGTCTCCAGCGCGGACTCCTTATCCACACCTTTTGAGTTTCCTTCGCGCATGCTCTCAACATCTCGATACCTCGCCACAATGTGCATCAAAGATTCATATAATCTCGCTGCTGCTAGCGAATCTTCTCTCGCATCCGCTATCATCTGCAGTCCTTTCGCCAGATCGTTATCTTGTTGTAGCTCGACTTGCAGTTCGCTAGATCTGTTGAGGCAAGCATCCATGAGTAACGCGATAGTGGCAATGAAGATACTGTACAGACCAGCTGGAGGGCGTTGGGGGCGGTGCGCAAAAGGGTGACGTGACTGTAAGAGTTTCGTTTCGAGGTATATGAGTTGGCGGGCTGAGTATAGACAAGCCGTGCGGGAAGACGGGCTTGTTGAGATGGTCATGGATGCGGATGGACGGGTGAGGGAGGTGAGGTGTAGTTTGCAGCGTTGAGTGTGGATGAGTGTGTTGAGGAAGTAGGCTTGGATGAGGGTGTGGTTTGGCTTTTCGGAGGAAAAGGTACTGTCGTAGTAGTCCAGTAGGAAGAAAGCGGGTGTCTCGTGCATCATGTCTACGAGTTGTTTGTCCATTGCCATGAGATGAACGTCGCGTTTGAACGGATCCGACGTGATTTGATCGACGAAGTTGCGTGAGATCTCTGCTAGACGGATGCGCTGGAGGAAGTATGACATGTCTGTGTGCTGGGAGAGCGGCAGAGATGGTTGGGGCCCGACGGCAAGAAGATCTACGTCGTTTATGTTTAGGGGCTTATTTACGTTCATATGAAGAGGACTGGATTGGTATACGCTTTCGCTAGGACCGCCGTATCTTGCTGCAAGAAGCCTGCGCAAAGCTGTCAGTCTACTTTGTATCATCAATGTATCAAGTCTTCTCAGTTCAACGTACCAGTCCGTAGCAGTCAGATACCACCAAACACGACGGCCAACCTCTGCTTTGAGCGTCCCTGCCCCATCGACATTAGATACATGATCGATCTGATGGAGACCCATTTCCCGACCCAGCAACAAGCCAGTCGATATCAAGGAGCGATATCGTAGAGAGACACCCTCTATATTACACATGACGTATGATAGAATGATGATGCCTTGTATAGCCTCAAAAGCCAGCGAATGTCCCTCTTGCAAAGTCTCAAGCACCGTGTATGTCGCCTTGACCCAGATAGATGTCTGAGAGCGCGCTTGGGTCGAGGACATAAATAGGGGGCGTTCTCTGTTCAGCCCGTCTGGTACACTCCATACATGTGTTGTGTGAGCGATGATGCTTAGTAATAAAGCAACTTTGCTGAGATTGGTAGGCTCACAACTTTCAATCGAGCGGTAGATTTCGTCGAGAATCGCTGGCAGTGAGGGATCGTGCGTTACGTGTTGAATATAGTTGAGCTCAGTAATGTAGACTTCCAGAAGCGTCGTGGCTTCTTCCTTTAGTGGTAGCCATATACATGGTATTAGTCTACCGAGTTGCCTTGTGTAGCTCAGTGTTGATGGTATTGTGCGGATCTGGCCAATCTTGAAAGTGATGTGGTTTGTCGCGGACAGTTCGAAAGAGCTCTGACTCATGGAGACGCCTTCGAGGTGTTCTACCATGTCTCTCGTTTTCTGGATCTCGGAAGGCTGGTACCTCTCAGTTTCGTCTGGAGCGGTTCCAGAAACGAAGGCAGTTCGGACACTTCCTCTGTCATCATTGCCCGCCTGCGGAGGAAAGGTAGTCTCTCGTATGATACGTTCTTCGAGCTCCTGCACACGATACTGAAGCGCATCTATCTCAGCCTGCATGTCGAGTTTTCCGGTTGAAGATGAAGGTGTCTGGACGCTCTCATGTAGCTGTTGCTGTGTGAGCGAAGTCCCGATCGAGACGGGGGTTTGAAGGCCTCGAGCTTCGCGTGCCGCCGGCGTAGGATCAAATTGACACGTCTTTCCTCGTGACCTGCAACTTGTGCATGGCAGCGGTCGATTGCAGCGAATCTTGCGCGACCGGCAGAAGTTACAGGAGTATTGTCCTTTGCGATTGGAACGCTCTCGCTCGCCCGAAGCTGGCATAATGGTTCTCTGAACCCTAGTAGACAGTCGAAATGAGAGAACAGTGGCAAAGGAGTCAATAAGGTGCTTTCTAGACTGGACAATAAGATGGTCGTGTCACAGGAGGCCTGCCTTTAGGTGAGTGCCAAGCATTTCGCGGGTATTCCGCGGAATACCCGTCGACGGAGAAGCGATGCTGACAGCATGTTCCTACCTGGGTGCTACGCCACATGGTTACAGAGTCGATCATAAGCTCACAGGATTCAGGAAGAAGGGGATCTGAAACGAATTGACCCTGCAGACGGCAAGGATTTCATAGGAGCGTACTTTCCAGTGCACTAGGAGGGTGGCGCTTTCGGATGTTGATCGTACGGGCCTGCTATCCTTCTCTCTGAGATATGGATGAGCCGATCAGGAGTTGCAAGGAACACGGGTAGCAGATCCAAGGCTGCTGGAACTCATATAGTGACAGAACAGATAGTTGGTATTGGTGATGCGATGCGAAAGTATGTAGGCGAGCAGGGACTGGAAAGGCCAGAGGCGAGCGTTAGAGCCGACGCTCGCATCAGTCAGGCTCGCCAAGACGCAGCTACTATCTGACTCGCATCCAAAATAATTCCATCCTCCACTTCCACCACATCTTCCCCTCCACCACAACACCAATGTAACCGATGTCATTCATCCCCCGCCATGCCTTCCCGCAAATCCCATCGCTGCCCCGGTCTTACTTCCTGGGCCACCACAAAGCTGGCCTGGCGAAGATGAAATCGCTCCTCTCCTCCATCGACCTAGTAATCGAATGTCGCGACTACCGTGTCCCGCTCACCTCGCGCAACCCTTTATTCGAAGATGCGCTAGAAGGAAAAGAGCGAGTTATTGTGTACACGAAGAGGGATCTGGGTGGAGGATCGCGCGATAACCGGAACGAAGATGTCATTGCGAAATGGCATCACCCTACTACGACGATGTTTGTGCGGAACGGGAAAGAAGGCGAGGGCGAGATTAGCGGACGGAAGAGCGTGATCAAGCTCCTGGACATCCTGCGCGAACACGCGCAGAAGAGGTGGAAGCTAGTCGGCCACCGCGTCATGGTAGTCGGCATGCCCAATGTGGGTAAATCCACGCTCCTCAACGCCCTTCGCGCACAAGGAATCGGTCGAGGCAAAGTCGCAGCCACGGGCGCACAACCGGGTGTAACGCGCAAAGTGAGCAGCAGCGGCGTGAAGATCATACCGAGCGAAGACGACATGGAAGCAGCGGAGGCCGCGGCGAAGAAGAAGCTGCAAGGTGTTGGAGGAGGTGTTTATCTACTCGACACACCCGGTGTCTTCATCCCATACGTCCCCGACGCAGAAGCCATGATGAAACTAGCGCTCTGCGGCTCCGTCAAGGATACTATCATTGCGCCTGTTATGCTCGCGGATTACCTCCTCTACCACCTGAACCTCCAGTCGCCGTCGCTATACTCCGAATACGCGTCGCCCACCAACGACATCATCGAGCTCCTTACTGAGATCGCGAAGAAGACTGGTAGACTGGGCAAGGGTGGGGTTATTGACACAGAAGCGACGTCGCTGTGGATGATTCAGAAGTGGAGGCAAGGCAATATGGGACGTTTTCTGTTGGACGAGGTGGACGAGAAGAGTTTGGTAAAGGCGAAGATTGATGAGGAGGGGCTTACGCCTAGTTTTAATCAAGCGAGGAAGGCGGAGCGGGAGCGGAGGAGGGAGAGGAATAAGGCGAGGGGGGAGAAGTAGGATGGTGAGGCGGAGTGTCGGTGGGCATGTGGCACGGGTTGCGCAAGGCGTCTAGTACGAATGTTTAATGTGACCACGGCCTATCGAATCACGGCTTCGAAGGGATGCCCGCCATACTCATGCTCTGCAATCGTTCTCTACCGCATCCAGGATAAAAGACGGTACAGTTGGCCTATAAGTTAGACCGAAGCCCTCATCTTACAACGCAATAAACCTAGCGAAGTCACCAATTTCTCCTTGGAATCTTTGTTTCCCACCGTGCAAACAGATCTGGGAGTAACATATTATCTTCTTACACAACTCCATCACCAAAACTTCCTCCTCACATGCCTTACCCCGCTCCAAATCCATCAAAAACCAGAACACGTAAAACAAATATATGAATCCGCTTAAACAGCCCCGACCGGACCACCCACATCAGTTCTACCAAGCATCCTATTATACGGCGGCGGCTCATCGTGATAAGGCGGCGGTTCCTCCGTATGAACAGCCAGTTCGTATAACCTCGGCGCAGCATCTAGTTCGTGGTATGCCAGCGGTCCCGGCCCAGCTTCGAATACATTGGGAGGTTCGGTTGGAGCAGCCTGCCAATCCGTAACCACCTGCACAGGCTGCGTACACGCAATACCAGACCACTCCCTATCCGCACATCGACCCGTAATCTCGATTTGAAGCTCGTATTCAAGGTTCAGGCCGTAGCTAGTGAAGCTAGGCGCGATGTTAACGTCTTTCGCAAGTTCGATATTCGCTACATCGAGCAGATTGAGGCCGTCGTAGAGAGGCTCGCCGTCACCTGTTTCGTACTTGTGGTCGCAGAGGACGATGGTGCGGCGATCGGTGTGATTGGTTACTCTACTGGGATGTTTGAAGAACGCTTCGTTGGGGAGGAAGACGTTGATCTTCGCGTTTAACTGCACTTTCAAACGCCGAATGAAGAGATCAGGTGGGGAAGGCAGCGATTCCGAGCGTTTGGTATGTTGCACGGTCACGATGGCTGGGAGGGGAGAACCGATAACCAGGATGCTGGGTGGAGTGGCGAGGACGTTGAATTGGACGTAAGGGATTTCTGCAAAGGACTCGATGCCGAAGAGGAGTTCTTTGTCGGCGAGTTTGTCTTTGAAGCGGCCGAGCTTGCTGGAGTTCTCGCCGTAGTTGGGGAGGAGTTTGCGGGTCCGGATTAGCTTCGCTGCGCTGCAGTGTTTGGGTAGTTTGGTGCCGAAGTTTAGGTCGGGTTGCAGGAGGGAGCGGTCGTAGGGGGGCGCTGGTGGCATGTAGGTGATTTCTTGTCGGACCCGCACCGGTGGTGTGCCCGGTAGATCGGACTCCATGTAGGCTTCTAGGTGATATACGACCCGTGGACTTGTGGGCGTGGGCCCGCTCAGCGTAGGTGGTAAAGGGAATCCTGGAGAATGCTGGAATCGGGGGTGGTTCCATTGGTCTCCTCTGCAGAGGTAGAGGTACGAAGTCAGTATATGTCTCACATGCACTTCGTACAGCCAGAACTTACGGATGAAGCCACACTCTACCAGCGGGAGGCGGTATTGTAGCATGATTTCCGAATGTGAAGGAGAAAGGCAGCTCGACTCTGGCGGGATCCCTCGCGTTGTTGGCGCGGAGGTGGAAGTCATCGGCTGCGATTTCGTGTATGTAAAGGAATTGCGAAAGTCCATAGAATTCGAGGTGCACGCTTCTTTGGTGGGCATCTTCAACGGCAGAGAAGCCTTTTAGACTTATGCTTATGCGTTTAGGTTGTGATGTGGGCACCACGACTAGCTGGCCTTGCACGCAGTCCCCGCTTGTGTAGGTCGGTGGCGGATTGAGCACTTCGATGTAGACGGGATTGTCTCTGCGATTAGTTCGGCTGCCGGTCGCAGCTATTGCTAATACCATGATCAGCTGACGGATGATGGACGACTGTATGATAAGAACAGGAGAATGATTGTGGTTATGGGAAACAATAGCATTGTATAAGGCTGCCCACGGGGTCAAGTATCGACGGCGATGTCGCTTCGGTGCCGCCCCTGTTCCTCGGGACCTGCCATACCAAGCCCTAGGGTGTCACGAGTTAGAGCCGAAGTTCCATCTTGGTATTCAAACCCGGGTTTGATTGTCCTGGACGCCGTATGGGCCTAAAGACCCGCGTATCAACACTGTTGGCTCAGCCTCAATGCTTCGATTAGTAATACTTGCGCGATCTCCCTCAAATCTCCGACTGTCAGGCCTGCCGTGGTGTTGCAGCTGTCTTGCGCGATGACGAGGCGCTTTGTGGTGATGCTCATTGGTGGTGTTGGCGGCCGGGGTCGTGCCGTCATCGATGGAGGGCGCGACTCACGACTCGCGACTTTTTGATCACCTAGCAGACGCAGACGACACCCGTCCCAACACCACCAACCATGTCGTCCAGCTACACCTGCACAGCCTGCTCCAAGGCCCTATTGAGGTCCTCGACCTCGCTGCTCCAGGTACACAGCCACGACCCCTTCCCCAAAGCAGATAATTGACTCTCGTAGCGAACGAATCGAGCGTCTCTGCGCCAAGCACGTCGAACAATCTCCACCACCTCACCCACCGCCTACCATGCCTCGCAATCGCTGTCAGCAGATGTCAGGCCCGAAGCCATCAAGAAGCCGCATCCCGCTGTTGCATCCGGCGTGACTGGCCTCGCCCAGAAGCTGCGCGAAAAGGCACCACTCATGACCGAGACGTACGTCGCATATGGCGCAACACGAGACCTGATCAAGGAATGCACAAAGCCCGGTGAATACAAGATACCCCAAGCGCTGCTAAAGCGGGGCGAGATACCCGTCGACGAGAACGGAGTGCATCTGGGCGAGGCCGAAGGGTGGTGGTATGACAGTGAGTACTGACAATGAGGCTACCCAGACCTTTCGCTAACACATTTTTGCACAGCCCTCGGACTCAAGCCAACCTTCTCGAATTGGGCCCAAATCACCTTCATCCACATGTACATGCTACAAGTCCGCTTCCGCATGTTCCCCCAGTCGCACGCGCCAGTCTGGATCCAGCACCTCACCAACCAAGCCTTCTACGCTGCCGAAGACAGACTAGTCATATGGCACAAGTTCAACGCCAATTCGCTGCGCCAGAAACACCTCAAGGATATGTTCTCGCAGTGGCGGGCGGTGCTGCTGTCGTACGACGAGGGGCTGATGAAGGGCGACGCTATGCTTGCGGCGGCTATCTGGCGTAATCTGCTCGGCGCAAAGGAGGATGTCGACTTTGAGAAGCTGGCCCAGATTGTGGGGTATATGCGGAGAGAGCTCAAGAGGCTGGATAGTGCTACGGATGATCAGGTCGCGGATGGGACGTGGACGTTCCGTGGTAGTCCTGGAGACGAGGCGCCTGTTGTTAAGGCGCCGAGTAGGATGATGGCGGCTGAGACTTCGAAGGCATGAGGAATGAACGGCATGAATGGGATGTAAGTGAAAAACTATGTATCAACAACATGTATATATCTTATGAGAGATGCGACATGGAAATACGCCTACTTACTTTCTTCCAGGCTTTATGCATGCCCCTGCATACTCAAGCTCAGCGCCTTCTGCAACTCTTCTTCGTCTTCATCCTCCCCAGCTGAGGCCCGACCTTTTCCTTTACTCTGATGATGCGCCTCCAAGAGACTTTGCTTCTTGACATACTCCATCACAATCTCTTCTTCCGTCTTTTCTTCTATCGTCTTCTCCCTTCGGTGCTGCGCCTCGTATTCACCTTGCGTTGTGCCTCCAAGATGACCGGCGTCATACGAGGGCGGTCTTTGGGCGCCTAGTAACCCATTACTCATTGTAGTTGCTGTTGCTTCGGATGTTCCCGCCCTCTCGCTATCGAGACCTTCCCATCCATTGTCTCCGTTCATCTGACGCTGTTCCTGGAGACTTTGCGCCATGGCTTGTTTCAGCAGTTTTTCATACTCCAGGGTCTCTATCGATAGTCGCTGCGCTTCGACTTCACTGGACGCCATCGCCTGGAGTAGTTCCTCATTGGAGTCTGCTTCAGCACCTCCGTGTGGTCCATTCTGTACTGACTGGTGGGTGGACCCGTTAGTCTCCGCCGCTCCGAGCGGTACTTCGGGTTCGGTATCCGTAGCATGCGTATTGTACTGCGAGGTGATTGTGACACTTTCGAGATCATGGATAAAAGCATCCGCAGACCGGACTGAATCCGCGGTAGACTCATCAACCGCCTTTCCCTTCCGCTGCGCATCCAAAACATCCTTCATCATCTCATCAAGCCCATCTTTCTTCTTCAAATACTTCTGAATCAACCCCCACCTCCCAACCACATCCTGCTTCTCCTCCTCCCCACTCTGCACCCACTCCTGATACCCCTGCGCCGTCCTACTCGTAACAATATACGTCTGCACACTACTTGCAAACCGCTTCTGCACCTCCTTATGCACCCCCTTCATCATATGACTCGGAATACCAAACAGCGCCGCCCCCGGCTTAGCTATGAAACCCCCAATCCCCTTTCCTACGCCCTTGAAAAATCCACTGGCGCCTTCTTTCCGAGCACCCTTCCAGGGCTGTGTGAAGAGACCGGTGACGCCGTCGTACCAGCCGAAACCAAATTCGCGGCCTATAGCTACCATGCCGGATTTTAGGTCGGAGACTTTTTCTTGGGGGCGCACGGTGGTGTCGTTCCAGAGCTTGGGCGCGTTGTGGAAGCCTTTCGTTATGCTGACGGAGAGTTCCATGGGGGATTGCACGCCGGCTTTTACAATGCGGCCGAAGCCTCTGCTTGTTCGTAGGCCAGTGGGACGTAGCATGTCGTTGTCTTTGCTAGAGCTGGATGCTACGCTGGGAGTCCGAGATGCCGAAGTGGGAAGGTTTGGAACGGTCTGCGAACGAGCAAGAGGTTTCCGCGCAATTGCACTTGGCTGGGAGTGTTGTTGTGAGCTTGATGAAGCGGAGCTCTCTCCTCTTAGTGACGACTCGCTTCTTTTTGCTGCGTTCCGTACTGCTGTGTCAGACTGCTGCCTACTAGGTCCAAAAGGAGCTTGAACAGCCTTAGCCGTCTCTGAAGGCATCTCAGCTATCCCCATACTCATGCTGCCCAACGTCCTAAGTATCCCCATACCGAATCCGGAGATAGGCTCCAGAGGACCCTCATCAGTCTCATATTCTTGCGCCCTAAAGAGTTTAAGGTCATGGAAATCCAGAAGATTGGCATTTGCCAGAGTGCACGCAGCGAAAGCGCTCAGTCTGATCTGAGTGCGCTTGATGCGCCACACGGCTACTCGAGATGGTGCAAGGGTGCAACGAAGTCGGTCGGGATCGAGATACTGGTGGAATGACTGGGCGCCCATATCGCTGCCGCGCTCCGTAGCGATCTTGCTTGCAAGATCTTTGGCACGCTCGAGACTTTCGGGCTTCAGGCAGAAGTTGATGGCATCTGCTAGTTTGTCCGCGGTGAGTTGCCGGTAAGGAATTGGATCGGGACCGGCGCCAGCCCGCGCAATCATTGCCCCCCAGAAGGGTTGGTCACCGAAAAACGGGATGACTAACGTGGGTCGGCCTGGAGTAAAGTCAAAATGTCAGCTTTAGTTTGTTGGATTGCTAAGTAAGCACACAACTCACCTGCTGCAATGCCTGCCGCTGTAGTCCCCGCGCCACCATGATGAACCACGCATTCGACGTGCTTGAAAAGCCAGTCATGTGGCACATTGCCTAACATGAAGACATTCTCAGGAACACGAAGTTCTTCCGCACCCATACCTCCCCAGCCCTTGGAAAGCAGTACACGTCTTCCGCCTGCAATCCTTTTCGTGGCCTCAAAGATAAGTTCCGTCATGGCGTTTGGATCGTCCAAAACGATGCTTCCGAATCCAATGTACACCGGCGGTGGTCCATCGTCAAGGAACTTTTGCAGCTCAGGCGTAGGGGTGTAATTAGAGGCCAGATTCAAGAAGTAGAAACCAGATATGGATATGTGAGAGCCCCAGTCCTTCGGTTTCGGAATAAGAGCTGGAGACCAGCAATACGTGTGAGGAACTTTGAGGCGCTGAAGCATTCCTGGAGCCCATATCATACTTATGGGCTCTAAGCCGAGGCACTTAGCGCGAAACCGGTTGATGATGTCGCCCAAGCCTTGCCATGAGAGGGCTTCGATCATAGCATAACTGATGTAGTTGGTGAGTTGAGTATCGGCGTTCGAAGACTGGATGTTCGCCAGAGGGTGGGGGAAGGCCTGGGTGGGAGAATATGGCATGGTGAACATGATATGAAGGGGTATTCCAAGCTTCTCTGCGCAATGAATATGTGCGAAGCTCGGTGGGTTGGCAATGATACAGTCCGCGACGAATGGAAAAGAAGTGGGGTCCTTTGCGGAGCGATCTGAATTGTCATCGTCGGTAATGCCGTCACCTGTCTCGTAGCACGATCTCCAGCAGCCTTGAATGTATTCCGCGACATCTCTTCTCCGGCGACCGACATCCCCGCTGGCCAGACTGCGGAAACCTGGCATCAATCCAGAATTCTTGACCATAAAAGCCATCAGCTGAGAAGGGTCGCCGCCGATGCTGAAGAACTCCAAGCCGTTCTCTTCTACAAACTTCTTGAAAGTAGGATGAGTTGCCAGACGTACACGATGGCCATAGGTCTCTTTCAAGACTTTTCCGAGAGCAACAAAGGGTTGCACGTCTCCGCGCAAGCCGACCACCTGGATGACCACATTTAGGGCTGGGGGTGGAACTCCCTCTTTACCTCCTAATGAAGGTGGGATGTATGCAGGAGGAGGCGGGCTGCTATCTTGAACACTCTGAACGTGTTCACGTAAGGCTGGAGTAAAGACTTGGGACAAACGACGGTTGAGCTGGTTGATTCGGATGTTGACACGGCCGTCTTCGGTGACGCTTGCGCTGGTGCCCAAGCCATCTTTTTCGTTGCGGATCTCGCCATAGATGTCGCCGGATGGAGGAGGCGGAATATCCTTGTCTGTCGCATCGGAAATTATGAGGTCAGTCGTTTGCAAAGGGGTGTCGTGTCGCGTTGATCGTGCGGTTTCAGTCTGGACGGCAGAAGCAGCAGCTTGTGCTTGTTGAAGCATTGCATGCTGCGCGTTGGTCTCCGATATAGAGGTTCCATCTTCTAGGTGATGTTGCGTGGTCATGGTGTCAAGAGGAGAGTATAGAGTGTACTATTCTGGCCGTCCCAGGTAGGTACGGCATCACTAAGTACTCCATCATCGAAGAGCGGCTTACGCCCTGGTGGAGGATCGCATGAGTGCATTCGTGTATACCAGTCCTCAAAGATGCTACAGTAGTCTTAGTGGTGAGCATTGCGCGTGCGAAGGATTCGTCTGCGTTCGCGAGAGGCTGAGGCAGGACCGATGCGGTAAACCTTGCGAGCTGAAGACGGGAAGTTGGACCCCGTAATTACGTCATCGCCATCAACAGCCTCCATGGGCACGTACGCATCACCCAACTGCGGAAATCATACCATAGGTGTATATTGATTAGGAGGAGCATGCGAGTTCCAGATTTTTAACTTGAGTGCATACCAAATATTAATGTCCGACATCAAAACAAACGTTGCACCAGATCGAAAAACAAGCTTGTCATAGCCAATGTGCACAGCGCATCCCAAACACCATGTACGCTCGCAATCGCACCACCAGTGAAATCCGCTAGTACACCTGTGGTAGTACTAGTTGGCTGCCCAAATCCGTCGCTACCGCTGCTGATAGAGCTGCCGTCCTTGCCATCCGCGGTAACAGATGCGGTGACGGAAATCGACCCCTCGACTACGACCACGGGTGTTTCTCCGGGAGTAAGTGAAACCTCGATACCACTAACTGTCGTCATGGCGCCAGGCATCAGGGTTTGCCCGTTCGGCAAAAGCAAGCCTCCGCCATCAGCCGCAGGAATGAAAGAGAACCCAGACGGAAGAGCACCCGGAGAAATCGTAGTACCACTGATGACTACGCTGCTTGCTGCTGCACCGATCGCTATCGTTGTTGTACCAGCAATTAAAGCAGAAGAATCGCGTGAGATGGTCAGAGTGCCGATGACGGTCACCTCGCCTGGCTCCAGTTCCGACGCAAGCTCGCTGACATTGACGGTCGTTCCATCTATGACTACTGAAGATGGACCGGGTGTCTGAGTAGTCTCCAGTAGCGGAATGGTTCGGGTGCCATCAATGACCACAAAAGAACCTGAGCCGCCTCTTGAGATGGGGATGTTGTTAATGGTGGTTACTTCACCAGGCTCGAGTTCAGAAGCAAGCTCGCTGATGTTGACAGTCATCCCGCCTATGATCACTGCAGATGGGCCAGACTCTTGGGTAGATTCCGGTAGCGGAATCGTCTGGGTGCCGCCCACGACCACGAATGAAGCCGACGTATCTCGGGAAATGGGAAGGTTGTTTATAGTGGTCACTTCGCCTGGGCGGAGTCGCGTGGCGACCTCACCAATGTTGACGGTCGTTCCACCGATCACCACAGGTGCTGGTCGAGTTGCCGGTGTCGGTGGGGGAAGCCCGAAAGTCGCAGTACCACCTATAACAACGAACGAAGCGGAGGTGTCGAACGAGATTGCAACATCGTTGATGGTGGTTTGCTGTCCAGGAACGATCATACTTGCAGCACCGCTTATCATAATACCCGAGTGAGACGGCTCAACTACAACAGCACCAAGGCCTGGTAGAGACATGGTCTGCAGTCCGCCCGGACTAAGGACCGTCGTAGTAGCTGGAAGATTTGCGGGTAACGCAGGTAGTCCGCCTGGAGGTCGCATAGGTTCTCCTGGTATTGGTTGTACTGGACCACCAGATGTCGCTATCGGATTACCTGGAGGCGTACCCTGAGGTAATGCAGTAGCAGTGAATTTTATCGATGAAATTTCCGGTCTGCTCGGCTGATCGGTGGGAGCGGTAGGGGCGCTATCCGAAGGTTTGAGTTTGGTGGATGCGGTCTCGGTATTCAGCATAGCCTTACTAGACGTACTTTTGTCTGATTAGCTACATACAGCACCGTTAGGAATCTTCTGCTTACGTGGGCTCTGTCAGGATCGGCTTAAATGTAGCTGGGATGAGATAATTGTAGTCGAATAGTGTCGAGGCAGTGACCAGGGTGAGCGTAACGGTTTCAATTGGTACCGACTCTGTTGTAACGGAAGTGTAAGTCACCGTTAGTGTCGAAATCGAAGTCGAGCAAGATATCTGCGGCTCGAGTGTGGTTGGTATGGCAGAGATAGAGCTGTTAACAGAACGGGGTGTTCTATGCTGTGTCAGTTTGTTTCTGGTCTAGCCAGGAAGAACATACGTGAAGGACATCGCAGCAGTCGTTGCGATAGAACTATTGACGGAACGGGGTGTTCTATGCTCTATCAGTAGGTTGCTAGCCTCGCTAGGAGAAGCATACGTAAAAGACATCGTAGCAGTCGTTTCCGCCCTTTTCTCAAGATTCGCACCAGTCGTGTGTGGAACGTCGTACACGGTTCTGGTCAATGTTGTGCCGTTGCTGAATGGAGTTATGTAGACAAAATAAACCCACCCCTCAGTATATGTTTCAGTGGTTGGTTCACGTAGTATAGTAGCGGTAGCAGTCGCATAGCTGAGGATTGAGGTGAGTACACTACATGCTGAATTTATCGTGGGAGAGGGAGCAACATTCGTAGCAACTCCAAGATCTACAATCTATGAGTCCAATTGAGCCTACAGGGTATCTTGCGAACCGAAAACTTACCTGAATAGAGTAGAGCGACAAAGCTGATCACTATCGACCAGTATTGCGAGTACATGTTGAATATGGGTTACCAGATGGTGGAAGGCGCAAGGTCGTAGTGACTGTGTTCATCGGCGTCGATGGTATTATATCCACCTAGGCAAAACGAGGGTAGGCAGTGGGGCGAAGCAGACTAGATGCGATGCATTCTATGCGACACTCTTGACGATGTATTGGCTACGCAATGTTGCTCAGCCTCGCGACTGGCCCCCAACAGTAGTCTGGGCACGACAGTCGTGGTTGGTCAGACTGCGCTGCATTGTCTTAATCTGGAAATATACAATAACCTTTGATTGCATCTCCAGGAAGCATATTGGATTGTTCTGCACAGCCTACCAATCATCGGGTTGAACCGTTGATTGCAGGGAAGAACACAGTCAGCAAGTTGGAAGTTCGGTTACAGTCCAATACAGGCTCAATGATACAGGTAGAGTACTTTCCTGCTACTTTGCGCTCAGTCGTAGACACATGCAAAAGAGCGTTGTTTATCTCAGCTTAGAGCTTTTCGCAATATGGCAGGAGCGCTCTCACTTGCAGCATCGGGTGGCTGGTTTGGTAATGACGGAAGCTGGTCGACGTACGCCTCTCACATGTTGCAAAAGTATGCCCATGCTTGTGCTGACAATGATAGGTTCCTCGTTCAGGTGGGAACTCCACCACAGACATTCAACGTGTTGCCTGCAACACAAGCTGCAAACGTCTGGCTTCCTATCGCTGATGAGTGTATGAGGCTGCAGAATGGCTCGGCTTCGTGTGGCAACTCTCGCGGTGTGACGCCTTTTCAACAACGTCAAAGTCCTGGGTTTCAAGCGAATATGTCGTCAACCTGGAAAACCATTGGTCTTTATGAACTCGGAATGGGAAGGATCCACGAAATCAACGGGAATGGTCTCCAAGGATTCGACAGTGTTGAACTGGACAACTTCACGATAGAGGGTCAGGCGATTACCGCCTATGCCTCACCCGGTTTCTGGATCGGTCAGATGGGACTATCGTCGTTGCCACTGAACTTCTCAGAGACAATCGGCTCGCCATCTCTGATTTCAGCCCTCAAAGATGAGGGTCATATACCCAGTCTAGCGTATGGATACCAAGCTGGTGCCTCGTATCGCAAAACCAGAATACCCGCCAGTCTCGTTCTCGGAGGATACGACCTGTCACGCTCGTCAGAACCCTTGACGGTCGACATCAATTCCGATCTGTCCAGAGCTCTTACAGTCGGGCTCCAGGATGTCATAGTGACCGATTCGCTGAACGGAACACTTTCGATGGTTGATAACGAACGGATACTAGCCCCGATCGATTCGTCTATTCCAGACATGTGGCTCCCCAAATCTGTTTGCGACCGCTTCGAATCTGCATTTGGCCTGGAGTATCATGAAAGGTCTGGGAGGTATGTCCTCACAGATTCGGCCAGGGATCGACTACGGGAACTCAATCCCACCTTAGCGTTCACCATCGGTACCAACGCCGTCACGGGTGGCAACACTACCATAGTCCAACTTCCATACGCGGCCTTCGACTTGCAGGCAGGGTATCCAATCTTTGCGAATGCGACGAACTATTTCCCGATTCGAAGAGCTGATAACGAAAGCCAGTACGCCATCGGCAGGGCGTTCCTACAAGAAGCATATATCGGCGTTGACTTCGAGGCTGGCATATTCAATGTCAGCGCAGCAAAATGGGACGACGTAAAGCCTGACATTGTAACGATCTCAGGTAAGGATAGTGATACCGGGGTGGCTAAGGAGCCAGGCCTCTCGGGTGGTATGATAGCTGGGATCGTCATTGGCTGCATGGCAGCGATATTGATTTGCGCATTGTGCATATGGGTTCTGGTACGGAGATCCAGGCGGATGCGGGAGCCAGATACAGCGCTGGCAGCTGACAAGGGAGCGCACGACGCGCTGTATTCAACTCCACAGTTGGCAGGTATGGCTTTCCACGAGCTCCCCGCTAAACACGGCGATAGCGAACTTTGGGAGGCAGAAATGGTACCTGAACTGGGTAGTCAGGAGTGTGCGCACGAATTGCATCCGGACTGCGTTCGATGAAGGAGTGTTGGTGCCGGATGACGCCTGCCAGATGAGGGACGCGCCGATGACTAACAACGCTAGCGTGTTAGCTATTGGGGCTGTCGCGCTTCTGGGCCGCGGCGCCAGCTTTACACCACCTTTCTTTCAGCATGTCATTTTTCAAACAACTTGAAACAAACAACTTCTTCTTACTTATCCTACAGAACCTGAGCAAGCAATATAATTCTCGGCCTCGTACTGCATCATGCCATCTCCTTTTATACTGTGGTCCACCGGGAAAGGAGTATATACCTTCTTTTCCCTGCGCCTAGTACATGCATGCATCATTGGATTGACATGTTGAAGCAATTATAGTTACTGTGCGACACATTCATACCACCTTAATATTCGCCCAATCCGAATTGCTCGATGATCGAATAACATGACCTCCACTAAGGACCGGCTAGACCGTGTAAAATAACAGGAAGCGGTAGGTAAATACTATGTGGCGGATCGCGACTCATGTTATTTCGTTCACAATACGACCTTCCCGAAGGCATGTGAACAGAATCATGTTTCTTCTCTTGATCAGCGCAGCCCACCACACAGTCCCAACGCATAACAATGACTGTCAACCCACACACTCTCACGCTGTCCACCGCTCTCGAGCCTCGGCAATCAGCCTCTGATGAGAAGTGTGCTATCTGCCAGGAGTCATTGGAGGACGCGCCTCCTGTCTATGGTCCAGCAGATGAGCATACATCCAATACAGATTGCCAGGCTGACATGGAAGCAGTCGTTACGAAGGTCTGTGGCGACAAACACTTCTTCCACCGAACTTGCATCGAATCGTGGTGGAAGTCCGGTAACCCTCATCTAAACACTTGTCCTATCGATCGTACACTTTGCTACGGCGACGTACGTGTACCCCAAGAGCCTGTCAACCTTCCTACGTATACTACATTTCCAGGTCATGACCCACATGAACACGTTACCGTTTATCTAGGGCGTCTTTCAGCTGATGATTTAAACTTCATTACCCGCGCACGAAACGAGGCATTCAACTTGATGCTCACTCCGCATCAGGTCATTACAATCGGTCCACTCGTGGACAATCTGCTTGATAGTGCGATCGAGACTGTGCAGAGACTTGCATCGGAGCTTGTTAACGCAGTTACGATCGACTGCTACCTGGATGCTCGCGTGCTTGCGGAAGGGCTGGCCGCAGGTTACATCACGCGCGAAGATATAGATTTGGCCAACAGCATCGCCGAGAATATAATGATCACGGCTGTGAACCGTAGCATTGTACCGGTTGGAGCGAGGGAAGGTGTGCAGGCTCCTTCCACTGCCGGTCCACATATTTCTGACGACATGTTTGGGCAAACGGTAAGAACTGGAGCCGACGAAGCCATTCCTAACCCCCAACGTCATCAACTCGGCCACAATGGTTTTGTGATTCACAGGACTGTACGCCTCCAGCTACAAATGGAAGGGCCACAGCATTACCTTGATAGTATTAACCATATGGTTGGCTTCTTCGACGATGACGAAGATGATTCTGGTGGTGGTGACATGGGTTAGGATTCTGTTGAAGAGGCTGGTGATACCATCAATGCCAGCTTCTTCGAACTTCACCATTGAGATTATCGTAGATAGGCAATGGTAAGAAGAGTGTCCATACGATATACGTGGATCGGCTAGGTGAAGCTGAGTCAAACTGTGAAATCGTCTTCAAGATACCCCTACGCCTACGTCGCTTTCTACAAACGTGCGCCTCGCCACAAATACTAGCCACCATACCCCCACAGCCCTGAAATTTTCCGGATTTATCCATCGGCTCTTATACCAGGTAGAAAGGGAGGTTAATAGCAACAAGGCAAGCCGGTGGGGAACACACGCAGTTCACACACGGCTCGACTCGAGCTGACAACCCCACCCCGCCACCTCATCCGGTAAAGCGCCAGATCCCGCTCAGGATGGCTGGCTAGCCTCCCAAATAATCTCAGCACGTCACGAGCACGCAAAGCAACGGAAGCACGGTGTTCCAAGCCTGCAAGTGAAATCGCAAAGATCTCCGACTATTTCCATCTCTTGCAGCTCCGATGGCCATGGCCCCTTGGATATGTCTCCACTGAAGCGTCCGAGTGAGGATGCGGAGCATGAGGATGGGCGCCGACCTGCACCGCGAACGCCGAGGATTAGAGCTTGTAAGTTCATGGACCGCGCCCCACTTCATCATTGCTTCTCTTTTTTTTTACTTACATTGTGTTGTTGTAGGTGCCGAGTGTAAAAGACACAAGATCAAATGTGAGCCTGTCGACAATGAAGCGAAATGCGCAAAGTGTCTGCGCAGCGGAACGGAATGCGTTCCTTATAATTTGAATCAACGGCTTTTGGATGAAGATGCGGCGTAGGTCCATATCATAAGTGCTCTCTTCACCATCGCTAAGTACTTTAGGTGGAAATCAAATGCGACAGCCGAGTTGACGCAGTTGCGCTCTGCGGTGCAGCGTCTGCTGCAGCACAACAAACTGCCCGGCTTGGATAGTCCAGTTAGTCAAGATACGCCGCCGCATTCAGCAGGACGCACCATGACCATCAGCCCGACAAACGTCATGTCTGAGAGCGGACATGCGACGTTCGTTGTTCCGCCGCCCATGGATATGACGAGAGATACCTCTGTCGAGCGCGAGTCTGGAGAAGAGTCTGGCTTGGTGACAGCGCCTATGAAGAGTTTATACGACCTTACCCGGATCCGGAACCTTCGGAGTAGCGTGCGATGGAAGCCCAACTCGAATTCCGTGGAGGAAGATTTTATAGCTCAAGGCATTGTGTCTTTGCCGGAAGCTGAGGACCTGTTCAGACGGTATATGCAGGACATTCGGCTTTATCTCTGGGCGGGTGTGCTCTTTCCATATGACTCCTTGGACGCAGTGCGCCGCCAGTCCACTCTTCTGACTGCGGCTGTGCTCACAATCTCCGCACTACACACGCCTGGTCGAGACGAAGCATTGCAGAAATGTTACAACATCTTCGTTTCATTAGTCTACAGTGCCTTTCTCGCTCGGCCTCAGAATCTGGATGATATCCGCGCGCTGGCTCTTGCCGCTTTCTATCTCTCGAATTTGAGCTGGAAGTTGGCCGGCCTGGCTGTGAGGAACGCCGTGGAGATGAATCTGCACATGTCGTACCAGAAGCTGATGCGAGGGCACGAGGACCAGCGAGACAACGTGCGTCTATGGTACGCGTTATATGTCTGCGACAAGCAGTTCAGCATCGCATACGGACGGCCATCTATCGTCCACGAAGACATCGCTATCAAGAACATTGAGAATTTCCTCGACAGTCCCAAAACGACCCCAGGAGATATCAGACTAGGGGCGCAGGTCACTTTGTTCAAGATCCTGACAGAAGCATACATTGCCTACGGCAGCGATCCAGAGCAACCACTGACGGAACCCGACTTCCAACAACTCCGCCTCTTCAACTTCGCCATTGAACAATGGCGACTCGCTTGGCAAGCCCGATCCGCTGACAGTCCATCCATCGGATCCTACCCATCGAAAGGCGTGGTACTATACTACCACTTCGCCAGATTCCAGCTCAATTCACTGGCGCTACGTGCTCTACCTCCACCTAGCGCAGCCACATCCGAGTCCCTCTCCTACGACCGCCGCGAAGCAGCCAACATCGCCATCACGGCCGCAACCAGCACCCTCACCCTAATCTTCGAGGAGCCTGATCTGCGCAAGGCCATGACAGCAGTGCCCATCTTCACGCACACCATGGTCGCTTTCTGCGCTACTTTCCTGTTGAAAATGGCAAAGACCTGGGGCGGCATGGCACAAGTGCAATCACCAGAGTGGGCAACCGAACCCGTTGGCCTAGGCCTCAACTTCAACATCAACCAAGTCCTATCTCTATCGCGGCGCTCCTCTTCTTTCCTAGCGAAAGTAGCGGAGAATCTGAACGAGAAACACATTACTACGCATATCGTGCAGGGTATCAATGATCTGTTGAAACGACTGGATGTTGCGGGTACGCCGTCGGGGTCTGTGACCCAGGGAGGCTTTCCGGCTGCTTCGCCTGCTACCACGCATGTGTTTGATCCTGTCAAAGCGGCTACGGCGCGCAACGATGAGGGTGTGGATGTGACGGCGGGGAATGAGTATAATATGTATGATTTGATTGGTTCTTATGGGTTTGGGTTTGACGAGACGTTTTTGGGTCAGGTTGCGCCTACGAACTTGGATTTCTGGCAGACGGAGCCTTTTTGATGGGCGGTATGTATTCGTAATTTAGGGGGAACTCCTCCTACCTTGTTCTCCAATGCACTTGAGGGTCTTGGGATCCTTGTGACAGAGGACTCCACACCTACCTTTACATATCACTCTTAAGGTTGTAGCCCAGCCAGGTTTGGCGCTCCTGATTATTCCTACATGATACCTTCGTCCAGCCGATACCTCGCATCCAACATTGTTATTCAAGGGTGGTGAAAGGCGGCGGTATCGGGCGGTGAAGGTGAGCGCGCGGAGCTTGCTGGGAAGCCGGGCGAAGGTATCAGCAATGATTTGTGGACCAAGCTGTGGTTTGCTGCACTGCGAGTAGGCAGCAGCAGCGATTGCTGTGGCGGAGCGAGTATGTAGGCAGCTATGCAAGTTTAGCAATGCGCAACGCTGGACAAGGCTGCCCAGGTGCTTGAGGCTGTCCAGGCGAGGCTGATGCTCTGAGCTTCTGCGCGTGCTCGTGAGGGGAAGCTGCGACGGCCGCCGGGGAAGCTCGTGCTCTCCATCGAGACGGTGACAATAATAGAAGCGAGGTTTCTAGAAGTAAATTATGCGCGTGTCGCCGGCGGGATAAGCAACGTGTGAGTGCATCGTCAACGTCGCGATTGTTCTGCCCCTCGCTACTAGGCGTTGCTGGGGAAGGCGCGTTTGGCGGTGAGGCGCAATTGGAAGGCGCGCCCCACCGTGATTGGCTTAGCCGCGGCCTTCTCTGCGTTTCTGCCGCTCTGTCTAGAAGATTCTCGAGCTCCA